GTTCTGTTCTTTTATTATTTCAATTAAGATTATGCTACGTTACCCAATGGTGAAATCTTACTTAAAGTAAAATAAGAAAACAAAATTTAGGAAAAAGCAATGAACAAATGCTGAAGTTGGTTCTGTGAATTATGACACATTATATTCAACTTCTAACAATCTTCTGATTGTGTGGTAGGAAAGAGATGGAAGAATTCTGGTTCAACTTCTTTTCTCAGGCTTCTTTGAGTTGTGCCTTCCTTTTTGGTGTTAGATTATCACTCTTCAGATTGACTAAAGGGAAACTCTTGCTGTGTGGGTTGTGTTCTGTGTGGACCCAGTCCTGCGACATAACGTGTTTGGGAATAAACCTGTTTGGAAAGGGCACTTTCAGCATATTGATGCATCTACAAACTTGGACATGAACATAAGTTGGTAAAGTTGCTTTTCTAAGAAGTCTGTTAGTAACTTTTAGAAAAGGATATGCTGCCCTGTCCAGGAGACAGACAGACACCTGCTTTCCCGTATATCGACGTCTTTTACACCCATTTAGTCTGCTGCTGCTTCAACTTCAGTTTTACACCCAGTGCACCGTTAATGTTTACTGTTAAATAGAGTAGCCATTAGAAGTGTGTTTCCAGCTATCCATGGAAATACTTAAACTAACAAAAACTCCCATCTTTTTTTCCCTAGTTGGTCAAGTAAATTTCTATTTTCCTTAAGCAGATATTGAAATCCTCTCTATGTCATTTGCATTGTTAATAAATTGCAGGACTTTATACCACATCACATTACTCTACTGGAAATAGATTTGGAATATGTAAAGGTACAATATACGTATATTTTTAACAGTGAAAAGTAATTTTCGGACATAATAGCCAAAATAAAGTACCATGAAGCTATTAGCAGTAAATTGATTTTTTTTTAAATGTAATTTAGTATAAATACTGACAAGCTTAAAAAAAACCAAAACCCAAAACCAAGCAACAAACGCATACTCATTAGTCATTCAGTTTAGCAGCACAGAAGCAGCATTGGGCCAGGGTGTGTGTTTTTATGTCTGCTTCAATTGCACACTTCATTTATTTGGACATGGCATAGGCGGCTTTCTCTGTCACACGGCATCACTGCACGATTAGCAAGTTGCGCCCCAGGGCAGCTGGGACGCTTTGCTGGGGCAGATGTTCTTTTCAGCTTATTCAGTGGCCGTTCTGGGCTTGTTTACTGTTGTCATAGCTACCTACATTTCCATAGCAGCCGAGCTGCTGTGTGCGAAGCAAGTGAATATAGTTATAAAAGGATCATATTTTGTTCTGTCTCTATAAGTTACCATCTGTCAACTGACTGTGATGGATTCAGAAAGCAATTTAAGAATTAACAGCAGCTGGCCGATGATTTTTGCTTATATTAAAGTGACAATGGGTGAGGATGCAAATCAGTTGGTGCTTCAATGAAATGCTAGTTTCTTTTTTTTTTTCCCCCCATAATTGTAGCTGTTTGGCTTCCATCACTTTCTCAAACATTGCTGAAATCCTTACAGACAAATCCAAATGATCGGGTATCATCTTCTGTACTTGCTCAGGTGTAGGTGTTCCTTATGCTTTCCCTCCCTATTGTCAGCTCATCCTTGTGTGTTGCTTCCAAATTGTCATGTTGCACTTGCTTTCACAGATCCTTTGTAATGAAATCATAATACTCTCCACAGAATTAAACAGTGAATTCTTGAGGCTAACAGCCAAGGTGCCATACACACAGGAGTGTGGTTTGGTGACATTCATCACTGTGCTCTGCTTAATAGTAGCAATGGGATCACATGCAAGTTTGTGGGTAAATTCAATGCCTGATCGACAAGCCCTCTGAATAATAAGCTCTTACACCTTTGCACTGCAGACATTTGGTTGAACCTGTAGTTTAGCAGTGGGGGCAAGAAGATTAGCCCAGTTGTAAATAATGTATTTATTGGTTGATTTTTCCAGATCCTGACATTGATGCTGCCACTGCCATGATGCTTTTGAATACTCCCCCTGAGATACAAGCAGGTTGTGAGTAGATATTTCTATAGCATATAGCAACATAGACGTGTAAAGTTAATATTCTCTTTTATAAGTGTACAGCGTACCAGATAAAAAGAAGAATTTAATGAAGAAATACGTCTTCCCTTGTAGACCCTTACACTTCCTTGACCCTTACATGAGTGTAATTTTGTGGTTCATATTACATTCTTTGTCATATGAATAACAGTAATCCATGATCTCTAATGGAAAAGAAAGGTTATTGTTATTCATGACATACACATAATTGAGTAACGTACTGTTATCTGTACTGATAGAAAGGAGAAAGGCAGGGAGAGAAAGAGAGCAAGAGAGTGAAGGGGACGTGGCATATGGTTTTGTTTTCATTTTGTTTTGATTTGACTCCCATCGTGTGAGTTACCACAGCCATCTGGATAGTTTCCATTCACTTGGGCACTGTTTCAACTCTTTCCTTGCACACATCCTGCCTATTTTCCTCTGTCTGATGCAAGGCAGTAGGCAGGCTCCGGGAGCAAGGAAAGGTCTCATTTCCTGCCTATACTGTCCTTGTTTCATGACCAGACCTGAGGTTTTGATGCTGTGTATTAACAGAGCACTGATAGGGCCTTGGCCCCTAGTGTACTGAGCTATGCAAATAGGGTGGGAATCATCCTGCCCCACAGAGCTTGTAGTGAAGATATTAGAGAAATTCGTAAAGAAATACAGCCACACAAAAGCAGGGAGTAGAAGAAAACAAACATATCACTGGTCAGCAAGCACAGTAGTAATGCTAAGTGACAGGCAGCTCTAAAAAATAAAGGCAGAAGTTAAAATAGAAGCCATTATCAAGCCTGTCTAGCATCACCACTATTGTTCTATCTTATGCAACCAAATCCAAATTTCAGGGGAAGCCTTGATTTAAACTTTGATACTCTGCCTAGGGAAGAGAGTCAATTACCATCAAAGCATTTCCTGTGCAGCCAAGGAAAGCTATTGTCAGCCTGCTTTGTGACCCTGCCAGAGAAGTGCCTCTTGAGAAGCTCCTCTCTGGGGAGAGCAGAATGTGCCAAGAAATGGTCCATTCTGGAAAGAGGGAAGAGTGGTCCTTGTCCTCCTCTCCTGAACAGCCTTCAGGGACTGTGTGCAGTAAATGGCCAAGCAATCCCGGCTATGTGTAAGTTGGAAAAAGGAAAGATTTTATCAGGCAGAGGAGATTATCACTGGGCTTAGTGGGAAGAGTAAAATGAGAGATCTTCAAAGGATCAAAAATTTAAAGAAGCTAGGTTTGTGGGGCAGAAATAAGGTGAAAAGAAGTTGGGGTAGAATGAGTGTTTTGGGGTAAAAGAGTATGTGGGAGCGGAAAGGAGAAATAAAGCAGTATGTGCAAAGAAAAGAATAGGGAAAATGCTGAATAATCAGAACTCCTGAAGGAACTGGAGACCAGGAGAAGACTGCAGACAAGAAAGGGAGGAGATCCATAGTAAGCTGCATATACTTAACATACTGCAGATTTTTATCACATATGTTTGCCAGCACTGCAGGTGTTTGCATGGAAGTGATTTGAAGGCTTGGGCACTGTCATGTTGTAGAGATCATAGCTTGGAGGTTGATAAATGACTTACTGCTATTTTAGTTTGTAGAGGTTGCTCTGAGGAAGGAAATTCTAGCCTTCTATGAGTTTGGCATATCTCTCCCCCCATGTCACCTTCCCAGTGGGCTGTTGTGTCAGGAGGAAAACAGGGAGAGGGAGGTGAGAGCAGAAAGATGGCTCCTCATTTGCATTGGTCCCTCACAGTGTCACGGAGTTGCAGAGTTTTTGGGGTTGGAAGAGATCTCTGAAGATCATCTAATCCACCCCCCTTGCTTAGTGTCAGCAGTCTCTGTGCCTTTAAACTGAAATGCACGGTCTGCTCAGATGCTCATGAGTCCTCCAAATGTTGGGTAGAATTGGCTGATGCCAGGAGGGAAGGGCAGAAGTTTTATCATAACCTCGGAGGTCCTATAAATTACAAAAGAGAAGTATTGTATGTGTGTATGTGAATGGATACCTGAGGAAGTAAATCAGCCTGTCCTATAAATTGCAGTTGGGTCTTATTGATCTACCATGTTAGGAAGATCTTAGGCAACTTAAAACAAATTAATTACCGCTGCACATTAAGAAACAACTACATGAAAAATCACATTTAAAATTAGTTTTCAAATAAAAGGCAATTGGGCTATAAAAAATTCATCACAATGCTGAGCATCATCTAGAAGTTCACAGTTCCTTCTCTGCTCTGCCAGTGACTACAGTGTCTGTAAATCAAGCTGTGAAAAATCAGGGCAGTAAGCATGCTGGTATTGTTTATTCCCTTGAAGATTCAGAGTTGTGTTCATCATATTAGACTGTGGTGTCAAAGCATGGGCTGAAGCCATCAGGGCTGCAAATGCCCCATCCTCTGAAGACAAGATTTGAAGAGAGAGGCTCTTAGTTTACTGTTTGGTCACAGGTGTTAATGCCTGACTGAAACACCCTTTGGTCTGAGACTCTTAACTCTGAATGTGCCAGTTACTTCCACAACAAAGATGGTGAGATGAAGGCAGAACCTGAGTGTCGTTTCATGGTATAACAACTTGGCTAGTCAACAAGTTTAAAACTGCTTCATTAACACCTTTGCTGGTCCTACAAACACTTAACCATTGTTGTGAAACATAGATACATCCAAAGTAGATTGTGACAGTCTGGATTCATATTTATGTGGATCGTTACATGAGTTGGCTTTTGAATTTGAAGGCATTTTCTTGGATTAAAAGCTACCTTTTGAGCAGGGTAAAAATCCGTGGTCATCTAGGCAGTGTGGGTGCTAAAAGCATCTTTAGGATGAAGTTAGCTAAAGCCATCATTTAAAGTATTAATGTTTTGGTTTTTTTCTTCTAATACAGTATGTCAGAAAAAAATCACATCTCACTGGTATTAGCAAATCAGGAGTGAACTATGCCTGCTTTGTAACATATATATGAATTAGCTTTATGGTTTTAAATGACCATTTGAAACTCTGTACCCATGTGTGAAACACTGCAAACAACCACACACGGATTCGAAATCAGCTTTTGCTTTTCTATGAAATCTTGAAGTGCTGTCTCAGCTGGCACAAACATTGCTTATCATTTACCCCAGTCACACTGTGCTTTAGGTTTCATGAAAAAAAAAAGGCAGAATAAAAGAGTAAAACATCATTATTAGGATTATTTTGCATTTGTGGAGGTTTTGCCTTACAGTCTTATGAAATTGATTGTTTACATGGCTACTAAAGATTGGAAGTAATGCAACTGTAGTAAGGGTGTTGACATCAGAAGTTAATTTCTAAAAATATTAACACCTTGCAGACCAAATATTTCCAGATTGTAATTAAAGTCAGAAGTTCAAAGTAGCCAACTACTTATAAAGCATGAAAGATACTGTGATATGCTAAGAAAGGGCATGTAGGTAACTAGTTTTGATACTTCATTTGCTTCAGTTTATGGAATTCCTTGTATTTCATCATGTTTCGTATGGTTTTATTATGTTTAAAAAGAAACAGCAACTGAACCACCTGCTTTCTTCAATAGCAGCTATCACAAGCTATGAATACTTTGGATTTGATTAGTAGCCAGTGCATTAATATTAATTCCAAAATACATTACTTGTATTAAGAACTGTATTTTGACCTGCAGTGGGCTGGGTAATGGCTAGGCCATCTTGGGCAAGTTGCATCAAATTTCTGGGCCTTTTTTCCGTGATGAGAATCTAATTCATAGATGACAGAGGAAAAGGAGGTTGTGAACAAATGGCAAAGTTCATGTTAGCAGACATGGGGGGAGAGAAGATGGACCATGCCCCACAGCTACTAACTCAGTGAAACCCGTGGGTTAGTTTTGTACCACTTAAAAGGTTTTCAATACTACAGTTCTTACCAATGTCTTTAAAGTAAATGTTACCACCTGTCACTCAAGTGTGGCATTCACAGCTCTTATATAAGAGTGTAGCAGCCTGGGTATGCCATTTAGCCTTGCTAAACCATTGTGTTTTGCCATTAATAAAGTGGAGATTTTTTTTGTGGTTTTGTAGTGGGTTTGAATTTCCTGAGATGCAAATCACTGTAATCATTTAAATAGAATGATAGAACCGTTTTGGCTGGAAAAGACATTTAAGGTCATCAAATCCAACTATTAACCTAGCACACTGCTGAGTTCACCACTAAACCATGCCCCTAAGCACCATAGCTACATGTATTTTAGTTACTTCCAGGGATGATGATCCCTTCCCTGGGCCGCCTGTTCCAGTGCCTCAGAGTAGCAATACCTTCTTAACTGGTGAGGTAATTCTGAATCATTGGAACCATTTTTTCTTTGGAAGGGACCAGTAAAAATGGAATGTGTGTAGTGTATTGCTGCTACTGCTAGTGAAACAAGACTGTGGTCCAAGTGATTTTACTGGAAATCCTGTCTTAATTCAGGAAACTGCTGACTCAGCGATATTATGTATAGCTTTGAATTCGTGAGTTGTCCTTTGCCTGTTGCTATATCATTTGGAAATTGCTCACAAGTGTAAGTACATTGCTCAAGCTGAAGTTCAATACTGCAAACAGTTCTGAATAGTTCTTGCAGGAAGGATATGGGTAGAAACTATAAAACTGAGGGTCCTCTCAGCCCTGAACATCCATCTTCAGTTTTCGAAACTGCATACCACTGCTCACTCAGGTTACCTGGAAAGTGGTGGCCTTCAGGAAACGTTGCAGCACTGATTTTGTGGGTGGTTCCTTACAGGAGACTGGAGCCCCATGTTAAAGATGTTTGGAAAGCATGTGACATGGAGTTTTGCTGGGTGCTTCTTAAAAAATAAGCTGTCCAAGGATAAGATCAATGTCTGCCTGGTTTGGAAATCTTTATTAATCTTTGTCTCAAAGTATGTAAAGCCAAGAATAGGTACATATATTTTAAATTTGACAGGAGAAGAAGTAATTCCCTAAAGAGGTCTACTAATACTGTACCTCTATACTTCTAAAATTGTA